CCCCCCCCCCCTCTCTGAGTTCCCACCTCAACGTATGATAAGCTATCTGCCCCAAAATGGCATCCACCCTGAGGCTGAGGTAACAGGCAACTGTAAAGCATCACAGCACCTCTGTAATAAAAAGATAACGAGGATTTTCACAGTTTCTCTTTGGAAAATCCAGAGAAAGATGCCACATCTAAAGTGGTGTTTCAGCTTTGCCATGGAACTAACCTTCCTTTTGAACAACAGCACTGACAACCTATCACGAAATCCGATAAATGGATTGCTTTGGGTATTCGTGATCCCCAGAAGATAGATCCTTATTGTGTTGTTGACCCCCCTGATCTTTCCCACAATCAATATAAACATTGTTAGATTGCCAAATGATGAGATGAAAAGAGGAAACTTTCAGATTGTAATGACCCCAGGGCCATATCTTTATTGTCATCAGGACAGGTTCTGTATTTTAAGTAGGTGGCAGCAAGACACAACACTTTGTCCCCCAGTGTTGTTGAATACAATTATTTTATTAACCTGTACACTACTCGTTGCTGCCATGTATCAAATCTAATCTCATTGGGAAGCCAAAAAACTGTGATTTGTATCTTAAATGAAAGGAGATGTTGCAATTTGACATGATGAACAAAGAAGTTAGCTAACTAACATCGTAAACATTGTTGAATGAAGACTATTGAAACTTGGAAGAGGATGCTACGCAAAGACTGTGTTTGCTGATTGATCTGTCTCTTTGTTCGGTTCAAGTTAGATATCTTATGTTTAAGGTAAGGATAAGATGTCAGATAGTGAGTTTCCTAAGAATTTTCACAAAGTTCCTTAAATGTAGGGTTACCTTTTAGACACGATCCCGAACCACTCTCGCATTGTTTTCCTCGGTGTGGCTGTGGCCAAATAGTTCAGCTACCATGTAAGAGGCAAAAAGAAGTGCATGTTCCTAATAGCTGCAGCCGGCCTGCTTCTCCTTTTACTCGCAACTGATCACAATAGAGGCAGCAGTGCAAATGCTTGATTTCTGAAAGAACCTTTACTTCTTTCCTGCCTCCACTTTCCTGGCCTCATTGGTTACCTCTTGCAACACCAACAGGGAACTTTCCTTCATTATAATGAAGTCAGATGTACTTTTACACTCAGGTAAATACAGACTTTTGGCATGAATATAGAGAGAGCTAGACACAGAAACCAATTTGTTGAACTGTTCTATTCTGTTTATACATTCATTCATTGTTATTGCTGCTTTAACCACACTAGAGTGACATCCTGAACCCTAACTGTCTATTGTCACCTGTCTGCAACATTCAAAACAAAAATGTCTGTCTCCTTTTCAGCACATCAGCAGCCGGCGTCATAAAGACAGAGCAGCAGGTAAACCAGCCAAACCGAAATACAGCCCGTACAGCAAACCGCAAGGACAGACGAACCAGCCGGTGAGTCACTGCACGCTTTAATCATGTTATCACAACAATAACGATGACTCAGTTCTAAGAGCCTCTTTGGAGACAGTCAAATCAACCCATGACAAACAGCTATTGTTTGACATTTGAGTTCAGTGTCATTCTCTTGTTCTAGTCACTCATAGGTCTGCGCCCATACCGATTACGTACCCCTCATTTTTGCTTTGTTTTAATAGGAGAAAACTTTGGAAAGAACTGCATGCAGAATTTTGGCAGTTTAATGTTTCTCTTTATCAGCTAAAAGTCATGCACAGCTCCTCTAAAGTTTCTGTTCTTTGATAAGCATTCAATTTGCTTGACGTCAGCTAATTCAATAACATGTCAACTTTCATAAACGGTTCACCTGTTACCTGTTATTAAAGTTCACTGGCAGAACACGGTGGGATTTAATTTGAAAACTTGATATTTTATTGACAAAAATGGCATGAATCAAGGCTCCTCTGAGCCAGCACGCTGGAGGTGGAATGCAGACTTGGGGTCGAATACTATTTATAAGTAATTGTAAATGTCAGTTTTAACTATTTTTGAGTAGCTCAGCTTCTGCATCAAGACCAAATTAATTTCAGGCGAGTTTTCAAACCACAGAATAAGAGAAGTGAACTGAAAGGACTTTCTTAATGTTTTACTGAGTTAAACTTTCTGGTACTCACTGTCCTGTGCCACTGAACCCCGGCAGTCTCACACTCCAGGAGGATTGAATGCCACATGACGAGGATTGGTAGGATGCATGAAGGAGTCGTGTGGATTAAACGTGGGAAAGATAAAGGAGCGCCTGACTTTCCATCTTACAGAAGCTCCCAGAAGAAGGCATTAATCACACACACTGTTTGCCGAGACAATGCGCGGGGGTTACCAGTGTGGGGGAAATGACTTTTTCTGAAACCCATCATTGACTGAGTTAACGGAGAGAAGCTTCTTTGATGAGTGGAGAGCAAAGAATGCCTCCCATAGGGTTACGATGCCTGAGTCAGTGATTGATAACCCATGACAACGGCTGCCATCGCGGTGCTGTGAGACCGTAGATTTTCCATTACAGATACAGAAGATTAAGCCAGATAACTTTGATGACCTTTTCACCCTATTAGGCTGGTTCTGGAGGTTGAATGCTTTTTTCCCAGTTGTCCTTCTGTGGATTCTTGCATTCCTTCTTCCTCATTCTTTTTCAATGCACACTACTATGGATTTTGACTTTGAAATAGCAAAATACAATCCAAGCTTTTGTGCCTCAGATTATGTTGAACACTTGGAGCAATTAGCATCTGATTTCTGGCACCTGTTTGCTCCCCTGCCCCCCCCCTCTCTCTGTGCCTGCACACTGCACTTCAAAAGCAATGTCCTCAGCCATAACATACCATAACTACGTTTCTTCTAAGAAAACTAATGTTTGTGACATCACCATGGTGTCTCTGTGGAACCAGGATTGTAACAGAGAAGTCTGGAAAACCCCGAAGACAAAAGAGATAAACAACATGATAAAAACCAGACTATCCCAGAGCACTAATGGCGCTTTTCCACTGCAGGGCCTCGCTCGCCTCAGTACAGTATGGCTAGGCCTCGTTAGGCCTTGTTAGGCCAGGTTCACTTTATGCTGCGTTTCCATTACAGTTTAGGAACTGGGGTAGTAACTATAGTAACGCAGTGTAGGCGGAGCTGTGACGTCATCTTCCATGCGAAATACAAAACCAACATCAGCCGTTAGCTGTTAGCCCTAGAGCTCACAGCTCCTCATATCTGTTCAGAAACTAGACAAAAGTTAAACAAGTACAAACCACAGACTGTCTGTGTCATGGCGAATACATTCTCTGGTTTATTTATGTCTGTATAGGCCGTTGTTGTGAGTGTGGACGTTTGGAGCATATACAACGTTAGCTTAGCCAATCTCCATTCAGAAAACACGCATTTTAAAAGATTTTTCGCCTGCCGTCTGTCTGCAGACTTGTCAAAGCATTAATTTTTACTAACCGGTATCAGTATGTTGTTGCTTCGGCATCATTTTGAAACGTGTATTACAATTAAATCACGGTTAAATATGTTCATTTTGTTGTAGTTGCCAGCGATTCTCTCACTAGTTTAGCATACTCAGCCCGGTTGTTGGCCCGGAAAGAACCTCGATTTTGGAGAGCCAGAAAAACTGTGAAAAAGTACCCGCTAGCCAGAACTACGCCTAGTGGAAACGCAAACAAAAACGGGTTTAAACCGCGCTCCGCGCTGTAGTGGAAATGCGCCATTAGTGATACACAAAAATGTTTTGTCCAACCAACCGTACAAAAACCACAATATTTAATTAACATGGGGATCCTGGAAATAGGAATTGTTTTTTTTTATCAAGATAACAGTTTATTAATTTCCTGCTTATACAGTTTAGATTAATAGGCAAATGATTTTGTATGGAAATGAAATGGAAATGCAAGATTGAAATCAAATCCCCTTTAATGTTCACCCACATGTTCACAGGGCCACACACATACAGTATGTAGTCCCTGCATTGAAGCCATCCTAGTATTAGGAAGCACCTGGGAAGCAGTGTGGGGGCAGGGTGACTTGATCAAGGGCACCTCTGCAGTACACAGACTCCATTCAAGCCTCTTCTTTTAGTAGGCTAGTGTGCTTGGTATTGAACCAGTAATTTGGTAAGGACCAAATTGTGTCTCCAAATATCGAAAAATATAATGTTTAGATGACATTTACCATTTGCTGACTTTTGCTTTAATCTGTAATGGTGAAAGTATTTATATTATAATAGTTAATTTTAGCAGAATATGCGATGTTAATATAGATCTGGCCTTTTTGTTTACATTATTATTACTTTTATTTTACTTTATTGAAGACAGTTAGAAAAGACATGTGGTACAAGTTACAAATGTTCAACAGTTCAAAGCTACTAGTGTTCAGCTTAGTCTCTATTATTGTACATCAATTGACCAGCCATACATAGTTGACCTTACTTGAAGGCGTACAATATTTAAACCACAATTATAACCAAAACAGACCATGTAGCCATAATTGTGCACAACCTGTGTACACATAGACTGTACTGACTGTATCTTGTCTCCCTCTGCAAGGTGAAGCTGTCCCTGGGGAAGGAGCGCCTGTGTCCTCTGAACACACAGATCATACCGGCTCACCTAGCGGCAGTGGCGGCTGCCATCAGCAACTCTTTCACGCACCGCACTAATCACATTACTAACCACGCCTCGACCCCTAACCTCTTCCAGACTCAGACCCTCCCCGCTGCACTGCTCCGCCCGGCCCCTGGTCCTGTGAGGACCTCCCACCCACAACTCCTCTTTGCCCCTTATTGACCTGTTTGACCCTGGGGGGGGGTGGAGATCTGCACCGCCTCCTGTTAAGGACCAAAACAACATGTGCTACACCCGGACCAGGCCAAGGAGTCGTGTCAGCATCTGCACTCCTTCTATGCATCCGGAAACATTTTTTCCCACCTCTCCTCACATGGATTATCCCACATTTAAAGCTAAACCCGGCGAAGCAATGGGCGCTCTCATGATGGATTAATTTCTCTGATCCCACTGAAGAGACCTGGGCTACAATATACATGCTTTCTGTGCCAACCTGCAGCCCACGGATCACACCCGGACCCCTTACCTGGTTCTACATTGTACCGCAATAATGTATAAGACTAACCCCGTGAACTATGCAGTGTCTTTATTTCATGATGCAAGGCACAGTTTGAGCTACAAATAGGGAAGGGATATGCTTTTTGAAAAGATACAGCGTGGCACTAAGATCATGCTTTAGTGGAGGATTACTGTCGCTCGTAATTTAAAAGGCTGTAACTGATAAAAGAGCGAGTAAGGCCCTCCTCAGTTCCTGTATGCACTTTAAGCTCCTTCTCTGTTGATGTCTACATTAGATGGCTAGACTGTGTTAGATTGTTAGAGTATGTGTCGTGATGTGTGTTTTTGTATCTGTACAGTATATGTGTATGTGTGTAGAAGTGCGTGCTCCTGCATGTGTGCTTGTCCATGTGAATAAGTATGTGTGTAATTGAATGTGTGTGTGTGTGTGTGTGTGTGTGTGTGTGTGTGTGTGTGTGTGTGTGTGTGTGTGTGTGTGTGTGTGTGTGTGTGTGTGTGTGTGTGTGCTTCTCATCTGCCATAAGCCATTCTAGTTGATATCCAGGACACATTGGGCCTCATTCATAAACATTGCAAACTCACAAATCTGTGCACAAACCGTGCAATTGTTTTACTTTTTGTAATGTAATGTAACTGTTTTAGTTTTCATTGTTTTTTATAGTTAGCCTCTAAGGATCAGCTTTCCTCAGAAATTTCTAGTGCAAAAACAAATTTGAATTAATACCATTCGCATTGTGTTCAATACAAAAATGACCAATGCGCATGTGTCATGAATCCGTCTATAATTTGCCACACTTTTTTGTGTGCAAAGTTTCTACGCTCATATTGGTGAGTGGTGAATGAGGCCCATTGTCACTGACCATGTCTCAGGCCAGAGGGACCACAAAGGCTTGTGTATAGTAACTGTCGGTGTGTAAAAGGTGAATAATTTCAAATAAAAAGAGTCCTTATTTGTTAATGCTGTGTATTCTGTGTAGTTTTAATTTAAATATATTGGGGTAGAAAAATATATATACATACAAATACTGTAAGGGTAACCTATCAACTGAAGAATATTAACTTTGTTGCATCAAGGAGTGCACATAAAACAACATTTATCAGAGAATGTGCCTCAGATGCACATACACACACAGAGTACTACATTACAATTCAGAATATGTACTTCAAATTCGTAACTCAACTCCATTTTAACTACTAACAAAATGTGTTTTTGAAGGATATGCATTCTATTTGTTTGTATCGAAGTGTTTGTTTTACAAAGGCTTATCCGTAATTCTGATGTAAATATTTCTGTTGGATTCTATTAAATTATTTATTGTTATTATTTATTGTAATAATGTATTTAACTAGAATGAGCAAGCAGAGCAGACGTGTCCATTCATATTTGAATAACTGAATGACAGATGATCTATGGAATAATAACACGCTTGATTGTTTACTGCATTTATGAATTTTACTTGAGGAGACTGACACTTAACAGCATAACATTTAGGCACTGTAAGAAAATACACATCTGTAACAAACAGGTGTACATTTTGCATTTAGGGACTATTTTCATTTGTGGATGAATCCACATTAGGAGTTCTATTGAATACTTACAGCAGCAGGACAGTGTATTGAGACAAATTCAACTTCAGTGCAAGGCAAGGCAAGGCAAGTTTATTTATATAGCACCTTTCAACACAAGGCAATTCAAAGTGCTCTTCAAAAATGAAAGACATTAAGAAAATGGCATTTAAAAACAGTCATTAAAAAGCAAAGATAAGAAAATAAACAATATAAGAAAAAAATACATCGATACAAGTTACAGTGCAGTTTAAGATATGAATAGTTCAATTAAAAGCAGCGGCAAAAAGAAAGGTCTTCAGCCTGGATTTAAAATTAGTCAGAGTTGCAGCGGAGTTGCAGTGTATGTTAGTTGAAATGAAGGAACACGTCAATAGTAAACACTGTGGCTCCCTTGGCTGTTCAACGGTTTTTTGACAATAGAAGTATTTTACACAGAGGAATAACATTCATAAAGCTTTGGTTACAAGAAAGAACACATCGTTGGTTTTGGAATTCTAATGGGAGTTGTTGACAATACTCCAATGCCTCTTTACTTTATTAATATAGGTCTCTTGTATTTTTTTTCTGCATAGCAACATGGCAATCCTGTAAGTAATTATTTTCCATTGTGCACCACATTGATACATTGGGCACAAACAGATGAACAGAGTTAGCCCATCACCAGCCGATTGACGTAACCACGATAGTTACTGTACATGTTTCTGCAGTCAATTTCCTGTTTCTATCAAAATACATTTGACAAAGAGGCAGTACACTGTGGTTACCATGCAGAGGTTTCATCAAAAAACATACATGTGGAACACAACCATCAGCGCATACATTTACAATAAAATTCACAGGCACTGATGCACACATCATAAATTAATCTATGATGTCTGACATCTTAAGGCCCAGATGGCTTTTTTTCCCCCAGGAAATAACATCACTGACAAAGCAGCTCTGAGCGGCTTAACTCTGACATTTTTGGAGGGACCCCAATTTACCACAACACCATAACTCATACGGCACATATTAAACTCAGTTGTTGAGTCTGTGAACTTTTCCATGAACCCTGAAGCTTATTCATCCATCCCTCGTTTGCAGCACCTCCACCCCCGAACTCCCAGACGCATGAAAGATGGCCGTTCAGCCAGAGGAGGGAGCTTCTTTCCACCGAAGGCCCCGCTCGCTCTCCAAAAGCAATAGTGACTCTGTGGCCTCCATCTCTCTTCCATTTATTCTCACTGTAGCAATGATCACAAACATCTGTAAGTGGGAGCCTCTCTATCTGCGGTTCAGGAGAGCTATCAAGAGAAAAACACTGCCTGACTCCATCTCTGTCAGCGGGAAAAATGCTGTGAACAGCTGGGCGTTGAACTGAGCAAGCAAAGGAATGAAGATTACGCCTGAGTGTGACTCAAAAAGGGGAAGAAAATGTAGTTCTTGGCTCAAGTTAATGTCAAGACCGATACTGAAATCAAGTTAACCTTAGCTGAAGCATGTTTCAAGACAATGAATGTAAAAATTATGAAAAACAGCGGAAAATAATTGTCAGTCAGCTACTTAAAACAAAAACAAAACAATAGGGAGTAATTACAATGTTTAGATTTACTTAACAATATAATATATCATTAAAAAAATGACTACTTATCAAAATGAATGATCATTAAGCTGCGGAGGTGATTCTACTAACAATTGTAACAAATAATCCAACAGTATTTTAGCATTTTCTTTTTTTTACTTGATGATAATCAATGTAATATTAAATGCATTATTAAAAATATAAAGCTAGAAGAATAAAAATAGGAAATACATTTTTTTTGGGGGATATACTTACTGTATATCTTGGAGTTAGTCCAATTCACAGTCAAACACTTTCACAGAGAAAGAACAAAATAGATAAACTAAGAAATAGATCAGCAAAAAAATGGTAACTGTTCTTTGCAAATGCTGCTGAAGCATCCGTGACTGAAAATAATACCTTTTTGTTTTATTAAAAAAATCACAACCCCTTCCAGACAGAACAAAGCTAACATGAACAGGATGTCTGAATGTTGATTTGAAATTAAATGCCGATTCAGTCTGATCATCGCACGAGAGCATGACTGGAATAAAACCTTATAAAAATATGATTCTCTCTTTTCAAATGCCAGCAATGCAGGCATGCATAATAAGTGTGCCAGTCAAGAGGTGCTGGTTTCCAAAAATTGCAAAGAGAGACAATAGAACGTCATTATTAAAACATGTTTTGTACAGTATCTTAAGAATCAGGAAAACTGAAATGGTGCAAAAATATTATTTTGTATTTAATTCATTTTTAATGGGCAAAACCTGTATGTCATTACCATCAGGCCTGATGAAGCAGCACAGCTCGTTATGATCCTGAAATAGATTTCTTTCCCAGCTAATGCGTTGTCACGGAACTTGAGTCATAATTATGTGACATTTTCAGCTTGCGTGATCCAAAAAGTCCAGTCTTAGGTACATTTGACATTTACCTATGCATGGCGGCGTACCAAGAGCACAATGGAACAATGGAAAAAATGCATCCAATTCTCTCCTTATCATCTGCTCGGCTATGACTGAATATCAACTACTGTACAATCAGTAAAAACATCAACCCCAAGTTATTTATGACTGTTATTGGAGGAATAGCAGTACTGAACTTACAAGCCCACAGTTACATTAAAGAGCATGTCGACATCTGTTTCCAAATACTGGCCAACAGATAACCTTTAAAGATTGCAGTTGGATATCTACACCAAAAAAAAAAGTGAATTGTAAAAAAGACAGCAATGTTAACACATTCAGTGTTATTGAAATCAATTATGAGACCATTACATCTTGCTCTATATACACATCCATATGGTCTTCATTTCCACAACACCCCTTGATCATTTCACTGTACAGGAAGGTGATTTATAAGCAGACTACCTGCTTGTGTTGGCCAAATTCCATCCAGACTCTTCATGTTATGCTCTCTGTCACTGTAACATAAAATAAGTACATTGCTCCTATTAGTTCTATCGAGTTGTTATTCATTTTTCATTACGAAAGGGAAAGGGTTGAGAAAAGAAACCCCTAAAGGCCGCAGCACTCAGGCGGGATGTTGTAACCATGGTTAGACTGCCAAGGCACACNCATGTTATGCTCTCTGTCACTGTAACATAAAATAAGTACATTGCTCCTATTAGTTCTATCGAGTTGTTATTCATTTTTCATTACGAAAGGGAAAGGGTTGAGAAAAGAAACCCCTAAAGGCCGCAGCACTCAGGCGGGATGTTGTAACCATGGTTGTAACTCGATAGGAGCTGCACTGACAATGCCCCCGGGACTCCTGGCAGGGCTGTGCAGGTCCAGACAGCCCGTGTCCATGTCTGTGTAAAAGCTTTGATTCAACATTATGATAAATGCCTCAATTAACATTCCAGTCCATTAAGGCTTTGACATTTTTACTTTATCCGGACGTTTCCAAAAAGCCTCGCTCGCGGGCAAGGATATTTTTGAAACATTGTCCCGCTTGTGAATCTGACAGAACACCTGCATTAAAAGCGCCCTGGTTTTAGTGTCCTGTGTGTTTTTACAGAGTGCTCCTAGGCTCCAGCGCCAAAAGATAAAGATTTAACGAGAGGGGAGGCTTGCAAAAAGTCACTGAAAGGTTTGCTCACCAGTAGCATTCTGAACACCCTGGCAGTTTTTTCAAGTGACTCACTGAAGCCCAAAATATGTAAGGGCGAAAGTTTAAGGACTACTTGAAAAACACCCACCCCCATACACACACACACATATTCACCTACACACATTACATTACAATGCATTTAGCTGACGCTTTTATTCAAAGTGATAAGTCACTTTGAATAAAAGCGTCAGCTAAATGCATTGTAATGTAATGTGTGTAGGTGAATATGTGTGTGTGTGTATGGGGGTGGGTGTTTTTCAAGTAGTCCTNCTACTCAATGCTCTACATCAGGGGTGTCAAACTCAAATACACAGTGGGCCAAAATTAAAAAATGGGTACTAGTCGAGGGCCGGACTGGTTCAATGTTTATTGCAAAACATATTGAAATGAACTTATTGCACATATTAAACCTAGAACTAGCAAAGCTTAAATTATTGCCTATAAAAACAACATTAAACATTAAATAATCAGTTGCATTCATTTCTTATGGCTCCATCTGCAGAGTCATTTCTTATGATTACATTTTTCCACAGGCCAACAACAGCTTCAAAAAAACAATTTCCCTCAAAGAAAAAAACAAACATGCCCTGTTGTCGTGGGAAAAAAAGTGCAGAAGGAAACATCCATTGAAACTCAGTGTGCTGCTTTGTGATGTACACTAAGCCAGATACTTGGCATCTCATCTTGGGTGCAAGTTCTCAGGGTTTAATACTTGTAACTGCATTTCACCC